TATATATATATATATATATATATATATATATATATATATTGTATCGAGTTTTCGATTGGAGAACCGAAACCCTATTCATCGCGGTCCTCGATCCATGGCAGCTTTGACAGTGTCTGTGCACTGAAAATATTCTTGCTTTGATTTCATGTCCTTAATTAGCTATCCTTTGATCTGTGCCTTCTTGAGTATACATGCTAATTCCCTTTTTTCTTCCTTCCTTTGCAAATGTGTTGTTATTCGAAATGCCAAATCACTTGGATCATAATCTTAACTCGATCCAACCATTGAAACAGTTTAGCTAGGGTTCCATTATGTGGAGACCCATACATTCATGTGCATATTTACGACATATATGTGAAGTGGAGGGTCATCTTCTACATGGAAATCATGAAATGAAAAAATAAAATAAAATATTTCCTCGTGGTTTGTGATTTAAAATGCTTAAAACAGGTATTTGCATGGTACAAAGTGGAAGTTTGAACCGGGGCATGTCTGTACTATGTTATACGTTTCGAGACATCGTTTTATCCACTGGTTCCAAGGCTAAATTTGAAAACCCTTGAAACTCCCATTCACATTTTTTTATAATTGGAAACGTGTGCCTTTTTCTTTAGTGGTTTTAATCGTTTAATGGTTTTGTAAGTACCGCATTACATATTCAACTTTTAAATGGTTTCTCAAGTGACTGAAATGTGAAATTCATCCGCCGCTATATATTTCTCCTTTGGATAGATCATCCGTCTCTAATATGCTTGAATTTGTTTTTGTTTTTTTTTTAACATTATATGTTCAATGTAAACGCGTCTGATTAATTTGGTTTGAATTTATATATACCGACAACCTTTTGTATTGTCTATAGTCTATAGATGCCATGAAATACGTGTCATTCGTGAGATTTTGAAGATGTCCACTCTAATTTCTCGTATGCTATCATCATTTTGGCTCGTGGATATGTATGATTTGATTCTCGATTTATTTTCTAAGAAACCATTAAATTAAACATTCACAAACACTTTGTGATACGTTGTATAATTCTGCTCGAGATTCTTATTTATATATATGAAATCAGTGACTATCATCATCAGCATTAATCGCATATTAGTCATACAATATATGCGTAAATATTCAACTCTATAAGGCCCCAAATCTCATGTCTTGGCATGACAACGTATCCCAACTATATGCAATAAGACCATTACAACAAAAAAAAAACTATATGCAATAAGATAACCAATACGACATTCTTTGAAGTCATGTGATGTAGGAAAAGCCCATTTAGAATATGATTTGGGCATAGGTCGAATTTACATAAGTTTACTTGCTACTAACCGACAACGGGATTAGTATTGGCGCGTGTTTAGCGCGTGCGTTCGGTTTTTTTTTTGTAGGACGAACACGACAATGATAGCGACAATGATAATGACAATTATAACCATAATGATAAGAACAACCCCAACACTATTACTATTAGGTAAGGTGTCGACGATTTCGTTCCGGACATTTTTAGGATATTCGTATCAGAATCGAACCACGATTGTTAACGATACTTTTTTTACAACCAGAATTCATATTTGGTAAAACAATCGGGTCTTAATAAATATCAGAAATATTTTTGTTGTTTTGTAAGGTATGGTATATCAAATTTGATTTAGAATATCCTACAACATGTTTCAAACAAGGTCGAGTTATTCCTTCATATTTTTTTTCAATATATAGATCTTGTTCGTTATCCGTTAGGAAATTAGTTTTACACATTTGGGTATATCCCGTGTTAATTTCATGGATTTTGTGTATATTTGGTTCCAAATTTCTTCTATGAACTCGTGGAATCTTCGCAAGCGAAATTATGAGGATAGAAAAAATATGATTGTAATCGAACATTACGAATGATCTTGAGCTTTAGTGAAATAAAATGAAAAGAAAAACATGTAAATGAAAACTGAAACTCACGTATTGTCTGTTTGTGCGTTTTTCAGTGTCGGTCCAAAGTTAGGGCTAATATATACAAGTTATAACAAATAAATGAATAAATAGATAAATAGGGGACAAATTTGGCGAAAGGATTTCTTGTTTGTAAATCATTGAATTTGGTTACACACTTTCGATCCCATCTGAGTAGAAAAAATTTATTTTCTATTTATTCTAAGTTTCGTAGGCCATGTCATACGACATTTAACGTGATAGATGTTCCAAATCGCATTCAAATTTTATTGAATTAATATTTATTATTTCTCTCTATTTAATTCAGGAATCAACGGCAAGATTCGTTCACATCGTCTTCTTAGGTCAATTTTTTTGCCTCATTATTTCGTATTCTGAATTTTGTAACAATTTAATTTAAACGATTAATAGTAAAACAAACAATTATTCAATAGAGAAAACCCATAAAAATTTACTTCATTGAATCAAATGACTAACTAACTTCTAGTAGAAGAGATATGATCTTTTAGTTTAGCCAAAAGATTGTGTCGTTTGAAATAAATTTTGTTATTTAATCTCGTAATTTTCAAATTAGGATTCATCGATCTTGGTCTTCGGTTCTAAGGTTTACCAATGACGTACATGCATGAACACACGACATTCCGCAAGCATATTAAAAAATAAATATACATACATCTCGAATATTAATCTTAAAACATAAATATAAATCACTTACCAAATATGGATTTTTATAGGTATTACGTAATATATTGGATCGACGTCAGATTTGATTATTCACAAACCGAAATCAGATACTACAAAATGTGAATATATTAAAAATTGCTAACGCTTTTTGCCCCTGTTTTTTCCCTCCAAAAGAAGTTTGGTGCCAGAAACTGCATGTGACGAGAAATAAAAATTTCAATATCAACGCATATATCTCTAGTCTCTATCTATCTATTTAATTAATTAATAATATATCTCACTAGAAATATCTAATCTCCTCTATTTAACAATTAAAATATTTTAAATTTATATTTTCGTGAGATTATATACATCAGTCGTAACAATTTAAAATCAATATGACCGTTTTCTAAAAGAATATTTCAAGAGAGTAATTTTGATCATTCCGTGCTAATGAAATTACAAAATATTGATTTTTATTTAAAGTAAAAATATATGAAAGTGATAAGCTAAAGAACTATAAAATTTTAACAAAAAAAAACTATAAAATTAATGCCGACCAAAGGGGGGAGAAATGGGGATCGAAGAGAAGATACGAAGTCACGTGCATTGTTGCAGTGTTGCAGAATCTCTCTCGTGCAATAAGATTTGACCGTTGACCAGAACTTTTTTTTATATAGTTAAAGAGGGGAAAAAAAAAAGGAGGCGCCGGTTATCGGGCTTATGTCGGTCCCCGGTTATCTTCGATACCTCGCTTTCGTTACCGTCTCAATGTGACACGTGTCAGTGGTCACGCCCTAGAGACCTTCTTTTTGATGCAGAGGTTTTTGACTTTGACCTTTGCTTCTACTCAATTTCTTTTTGCTTTTCAAAGTGTTTCTATATACTAAAATCACACACTTCCCAAACTTTTGGTTTGGCAAAAGAGCACATCTCCCAATCAATTATTTTCGAATTATGACGGTCTTATTTATTTTTTCCCCTAATAAAAAACAAATGTATCAACATTAGATGTATGTATGATGTATATGAGAAAGCCATTCATCTGAATCATATGTGATCAAGACTTGTAAATATGGATAAACAATTTGATAATCTAAAATCAAATTTACGTAATTTTAACATAGCTATCTGTGTTCTAATATATGTTTTTCTCATTTTTAATGAATGAAAATGTGAAATCTATGGGAAAAAAAATATTAAGTTCACATGGAATTTTTCTTTTATGTATAGAAAAAAGTGTAATGTGTAAGGTTTTTTTTTATAAATATTTTAAATACTATAATCACCGAAACAATTTTGAAAAAGGAATAGGAGAATTCAAATGTGATATAATATAACTATATGTAAATTTAAGTATGATCGAAAATCAATAAATATTTTTTTTAGAATTATATTCACAGAAAATCAATAAAAAAATAAACATTATGTTAAAAATCGAATCATATAGTCATATAGATATCAAATTCGAATTTGTTTTTTTTATATAAATAGTTAAAAACAATCATAGAAATAATTTAAATTTGCGATTTTTAATTAGTTATGAAAACGGATCAAAGATTTATTATGAATATTATTGTTATTATTATTATTGGTATAAGTTGAAATTGTTGCCACTGCATTATTGATTCATCTGAGCAAGCAATTAACAGTTACAGGTTCAGGGAAAGGTCAGTGAGTGATATTGGATTTCCTGTTGCATTAAATCCTCTCCCCCTTCTTTCACTCAACTATGGCTTTTCTCCCCCCCTCCCCTACGTCACCTTTTTCTTTATTTTTTTTTCTCTAAAAATCTTTATTCACAACAACAACAATAATAAAAAAAAAAAAGAATCTAAAAATAGCAATTGAATATCTCACTTATTGATTTTGTTACCATTAACCAAATGGTGTGAAAAGGACCTAGGACCATAAATGAGGGGCTATAACCTTGTTACAAATTCTTACAACTTAGTTATGTCTTGTTATTATCAACATAAGAAAGTGCTTTCTTTTTTCGTTTTTGCACCAATTATAAATTGAAAGACGAATTGTTGTCCCCCGAACCAAAAATTAACATTTATATATATATATATTGGAATCTGATTTTTTTTCCCAACGAATTGAAAAAATCAGTTTGGATTTTGTTTGTGTGAGGTGTATATTTTTTTAAAAATATTTATGTGGATTTTTTTTTTTTGTAAAATAGAGGAGTAATTTGGTGGGCCTATCGAGGCAAAATGAGGCCCGGGCAATACCCACTGCCACACCTCACCACTCTGCATATCTTCTAATATAATATTTATCACAAAACAGACAAAATAAGTTTAAATTTGAAAAAAAAAGGATGCTTTTTTTATTATTTAAAATTAAAAACGACTTTCTTTTTGTTCATCTGTGCCATTATAAATACGAAACCCTAACTTCTTTCTCCTATAACTCTCTCTCTCCTGACTCTAGTATCAGAATTCCAAGAAAAATCCCCAAATTCCCAAGCTCTTTCCTTTATTGCTCTAATTTCTCTTGCTCCTCAATCTCCAAAATACCCACAAAAATTAATTCGGAAAAATACCCCAATAATCGACAATCCGGAACGAGATCAGAGCTGTATCGTCGTCTGGAATATCTGAAAGCTTCGGTCACGATCACAGAGACGAATCAATGGCGCCTGTCTTGACACGAACCGGAAGCGCGCCGCAATTCTACCTCGATGACAAGTGGAAGCTGACGAAGAAAGAAATCGGCGGCGGCGCGTCGAGGATCACGCGCTCATCGTCGACGTCGTCGTCGTCCTTCGGCGGCTACAAGAAGAACCCTAAGCAGGGGAAGTGCGCTTTTACGAGGAAGTGCGCTAGACTGGTCAAGGAACAGAGAGCTCGGTTCTACATCATGAGGAGATGCGTAATCATGCTTATCTGTTGGAGAGATTACTCCGATGTCTAGAATCTGGTGGATGGGTCGCTGTTCGTCTGATCAATTTCTCGTCCTTTTTTTGCGTTTTTTCATCCGGCGATCTTTTCTGGGCTTTCGAAGAACAGCAACCGCCGAAACCCAGAATTCGTTTTCCCTCTGTTTCTTTTTTTGGTTCAGAATCGAAGTAGATAGATACACGTGTACATAAAGGCTTATATTCCTCTGTTTATTTTCCCTCTTTTGTGATTTGGTTTGGTTTGAGCTCATGATTCTCTAACGGAGACAAAACAGAAAGTGAGAGAGAGGGGAAGTATCTGTTGTGTTGGAGTGATGATCAGTTCCAGTGTAAGAACTCGAAGAACAGAAGGAGAAAAAAATCAATGGAATATAATATAAAATAGCGAATTAGATAGATTCTTTTCCTGTTCTGCTCTGTTTTCGTTTTCGTGATCTGATGATCCTCTGTGTTGCTGACGAAGATGGTAATGGCGTTCTTCTCTATACGAGAGAGAGAGAGAGAGAGAGAGAGAGAGAGAGAGAGATTCCACTGAACTTGATGCGATTAAGCAATGTTAGTCTGACAAAGTAATTAATTTTTGTTTTGAATTTTGATGAATCTGTAGTTTTATTATATCCCTATCAAGCTTCGTTTAAAAAAAAAATTAGACAAGGACAAGCATAATTCATTATTTTTGTAAATAAAATAAATCGTAATTAGACCCTTTCAATTTTCATAATGTAATTAAATTCTTGTACAAGTTAACCAAGATGTGTTAAATATGATTTAGTAGTCCGCATATCCTTTTTAGTCAAAAGGACAAAATACTTGATAATAAATGATTCATTTCCCTTTCCCTCACATAAATTGGTTTCCTTGTGTTCTTTGTTCTCTATATGTAGTTTTATGTTATAATATAACTATATTTTATAAATATCACAAAATATTCAAGTGTTTACTTAATAAATATGATTTATTAATGGATTCTTATGTAGTGTGACGTGGAAATTAAACCCAACATATTCCGTGGTCCATATTTTATGAAATAGTAGGGTGTGCCACTTATATAACAAAAAATGTAATCCACTCGAAATTGGTCCCATTGTTCTTATAATTATCACAATAACAATCATAATAATATGAATCACTATTATTATTATTAGCTATAGTTTTTTTAAGTATTCCCAACATATCGTGGGTGAATGGACAAGTTTGGGGTAGGAGTTAACTCCATCTCTTGAAGTTGAGTGTTCGATTCCTGACTGATGGGGATAGAGGTAATTTCTGGGTTTATATGATCCATATACAAAGGCTGTTCCCGGGCCGGAGGTTTACCTAGTCAGCGCGTCCGAAGGATAGCAGTTAAGGATCCTCCGTTATAAAAAAAAAAAAAGTATTCCCTAAACTACAACAATAATAACCAAATACCTATATGATAATCTGTCCAAGTTATATCGAATGAATGTTATAAGGTATGAATAGAACATGAATATTACATAGAGCATGAATAATTAATTTGATTTTTTTTTTAAAAAATTATTATAGTGAGGAATCCGGTGTTTTTTTCCCGATAAAACTCATTTTTTTTCCGTTTTTCTATAGAAAAGATTCTTTGGTGATTTCTCGTGAGCATGTGGAGGAGTAATTGGCGAGAATTTAATTTAAAATTATATAATTCCACATTGAAACTAACAGCTGCGTTTCCTGTTGTTACTTTACAATGGGCCTTTTTCTGCATTGCACGCTGCTCTCATGCATCTCACTATCTTTTTTTGTCTAATTATTAAATATAAAAAAAATTATTACATATTTGGAATTAATTTTTTACATATAAAAAATGCAAGCAGTTACAAAATTATTTCATTATTGATTTTGGTCAAAACTATGAAACTATTGCTTTTCCTTTGTTCTTTCCATGTGATTGCTCTTTCCCCGTCAAGTGCTTCACTCTTCTTTTTGACCCATCAATAATTACAAAGACTTCTTATTGATTTTTTTTATATAATTTTTTGTTGTAATTATAATGAACACCTTCTTCTTATTAAGTTGTAATGATCATATTATATTACAAATTTTAAAATATTATATTTAAGAGAAACTTAACACTATTATCTATTAATATCTATAACTCTATTTCACTTCGGAACCTTTGTTTGAATAAAGCACTGCTCTAATTAACTATTGAAAGATAATGCTCTCCAGTAAGATTTTAAAAAATAAACACTGAATCATATATAATTTTGTATACATATAAGATATATTTTTATTTAAAATATAGACAAACCAATATTTGAAAGTTTAGTACAATGATATAAAATATAGTTGTGGGATGTTTGCCATAAAGCATTAATGTGTTGGTCAGCCCCACAAACATCCAAATGGCATAATGATTATACAAATGTTAATTGCTCATTAGCGATTTTAGCATGCTTAATTTGGCTTCATTATCCTATTTAGACAACATGCGGACAATTCTTGTTTGACTTTTCTTTTTTGTTGAAACTTTCTCGGAGTGATTTTCCCTTAATTTTATATCATACGCAATTATTGATGATTATTAAATTTTACTCCTTTTTCAAATCTCTATAAAATAATTATATACGGCGGAAGAAAAAGAAAAGATTTCAAAATAGTGTCTGTAAAAGTTAAAAAAAAAAACAGTAAATGCTTTTGTAGCTGTTGCTATGTTTAACCAAACACATGATAATTAATTAAGCTACTAAAACAATTGTAAATATTTCTTATAATTATCATATAAAAGCCAATTAATCTAGAAAAAAAAACATTGATATGCATCTCCATATTTTTTTATGAATTATAAAGAATTTCGAGAAACTAGAATATTGGGGCTGCCTAGTATAGGAAATTAATTCAAACCTTGATAATCAAGAAAGTTGTATTTTCTAATAGAATTATTATGTATTTTTGGACCTAGTCCTAAACAAATAGATATGATAAAGTAAGACAAAATGTAATTTTGAAAAGAAAATATCCGAATGCTAAACTAGAGGTCTATAAACGGCGGTAGCCTCAATCCACAAGAGCTCTTGAAGTTGATTGAAAACTTTATAAAATCGGCATGAGGGTCCATATTTGGTCAACAATCACATCCGTGACACGCAAGCCTGAATAACAATAGTAAAGACTGACGTTGACGATTATTGTTATTATTATTATTAATTTTGTAATTCTCTTTGTAATATTTTATGGCATGGAATTTCGTATTTCCATCTCTAAAAAAAATATTTAAAATCAAGATAAAATTGCTCATTTATTTCCATTTTTAAAGTTTAGAACTCTATTTAAAAGATGTTATATGAATATTAAGACTAAACAAATAGACAGAAATATTTCACAATTATACCAATAAATTATAGAAAACAAAATTATGTAAATATATGGTATGATATCCCGATCTCGAATCCCGACACCTATTACAAAAAATATATAATGACAATATTTCCATGAAATTCAAAAAGGATATTTTTAATTCAATTTGTATTTTGAAAGTCGCATCATAAGATATATATATAAATATATGTGTATATATATTGAAAGAGGGCATTCAAGAAACCTAAGCGTATTTAATGAAAGAGAACCAGATTAAAAAAAAATGCGAAGAAGATGAGATCCAACGACCTTAATGTGCACGTGGAAAAACACAAAGCTGCGTCATATATAGTGAATTCACAAAGTATGTACATTGATGATATGACATGTCGATGTCGAATTGGGATGTACATATATTTTTAATTTTCAACGTGAGACAAGACAAGAATGCATGTATATATGTTCTTAGGTAAAAGAAATGGCAAATAAATAAATAAATAAATAAAAATGTGAAATAAATAAATAAATATGAAAGATTTGGTGGAACCTTATGGGCTTTTGTATAACCATCACATGAAGAATATGGATACCCACCAGCATCGGGCATGGCTTTGGTTTGGTCTGTTCGATCCCCTTTGTCTTTAGATGTAACCTTTGTGTTTGTCTATTTGCTAGGTATGAATACATATTTTTCTTTTAAGAAAATATATTATATAATTGGTTGCTTTCATTATTAAAACGCGAGGAAGATTTTTCGTATGGAAATATATAAGGTCCAATAAAATTTTGAATAACATTTAATTGGAGAGATTTTTTTTTAAATATCTGTGACAATATATTTTCTAATGAAATGCATAAATATAGTTTATATAATTTTGTAAACATGGGTGAGAGGCAATAATTGAAAGGTTGGGGGACCCCTCAAAGGAGTCTCCAAGGACATAGGTGCCATGGCCATCCCTTAACGTTGAACCTATTGTCCATCATTTAATTTACTTTATTATTATTATTATTATTATTATTATTATTATGGACCACACTTATCCATCACGACAGCATGCGTCTCCTTGTATTAATTTCATTTGATACATTTACCGATGGGTTTTTCCTTTTTTTCTGAAACGTGAAGACAACACCGTGGATCAGGCACTGTTATCCGTTCATTCCCATTTTTATAAATCTGAATTACGGACTGATAGCCAATGAAAATACAAAAAAAAAAAAATCTTCTATTTTCTTCATAATTAGGGTTCATGATGATGATGGTTATTATTATTATTATGGGTTGGAAACGCATGACATAAATTAGTCGAATCTGTAGAATTGAAAGCTGTTTACAATTTCGTCCGCTCTCTGTATGGGAGTGTATTGGGCCTTTTTCCCTGACTGTATCAGCCCATATTGGTTCATTTGGGCTATTACATAGCAAGCCCATTTGGGCCACGGAAATTCAATTAACGACGATTAGAACGGAATTTCAAAAAATAATCGAAAGTTTTTGTTTGATATGGAAATCGGAAACAAAATCCAATTTGAATTAAAACTGAATATAAATCTTATCCAGATTAAACTTCAAACATTAAAATATTTAAACCAGCGCAAAAAACCTAAATTAAACACAGGCTTTATTTTGGTTTGAAACCCTAATCCCTAACTGCAAAGCCACCACAACTAAAATCAAAAACCCTAAAGCAGCTTGTTCTTCGTGTCTCGACTCAGAAAGGGAAGACGATGATGATGATGCCTGCTGTGTCATGGAGCAACAGCCACTGTCAACATAATACATGGTAGAAATCATTACATCGTCAGATATCACACGAAAGCACATTAACGATCTCATATATCACTATGACCCAATCCTTCCCAAAAAAAAAAAAAAAACAGGTGAAGCTCACCTGTCATGGCGGCGGGGCTCCTTGTTTTCGTGAGCGGGATCGTGGGAGCAGTTGTCGGAACGTTATCCATTACAACGAGTGCATCTTCAGGACAATTATTGATTTCTGGATAATACTCCAGCATTCTAGCGAGCTTAATCCAACGCTGCAAGGGCGGAAAATCAGATTATTAATTACCCACGTGACTAAAAGTTTCGGAACTGCCGATGAAATCGAAAAGGAACATCGAGTTTTCGATGTTAATTAAGTGATTGAACACTACCTTAAGAGTCAATTATATTTATTTTCTTGTTTGAGTGTTTAATGTCTAATATAACAAAATTTTCTAGAATTTTTATTTTCTTGAATAGAAAACTGTTCATAAACAATTTTTGTTGTTCTCCTTATTTTGAGTGTGTTGGGCCTTCCTCGTGACCGTATAGGCCCAAACTTGTTCACTCGGGCTCTATACAGCGAGTCCATTAGGTTATAATGGGAAATTGAAGTTTAATGTCTAATAAAAATATATCTATTTTCTAGCATTTTCAAAGAACTTTTACAAAATTTTATATATTACACTCGAATTGTTCTCTTGATTATATTTAATTTACAAACAATTCCGTATAATTGTATGAATTAAATTAATCTAACTCAATTTAAATTAAAACAGAATAATTAGTAAAAATTGAATGAAACGAAATCTTATCCAAATTAAAATTCAATAATAATAAAAAATTAAGCCAAAACAAAATCCTACATATGCGTTGAAAACTATATATTTCTCTCTGTCGAGGTTTTATACTTGAATTGCTTGTTGCGTACAATTTTAATAAAATTAATTAGTTCAAATTTTAAATACATTCAACTGATAAAATACGTTTCGCTTTGTCATTGCGGCGTGCACGCTATTATATATATATAAAAAAAAACTTCCGTTTGCAAAGGCTTACGGACATCTTTATAATATGCAAATTGGCCTTCATTGGGTCTCATATGATTGAACAGAAAACATTATCTTTCTATTTATTGTTATTTGATAAAATTCGATTGGTTGTGTGGTCGAATTATTGCTCCCCATATGTAATAGACAAGATTCGATCATGGCCTCAATCATTTCAATAAACCGAATTAGTTGATCGTGTCTGCATGATTCTCCTCGGAATGC